CCCCAGCCTTGACACATGTATTTACTAAAATTCAGAATGATAAATTGATCTATGGGTGTGTTTTTTTTTTTCCTATAGTACATTTGACTTTGTGTGACATTGTTAAAGTGGTTAATTTAATCAGGACACCAACACATGTTATAAATAACATGTTGCTTGACTTGAAACCTCACACAATAGATTTTGCTTTTGAGTGGTATGTTTTGATAGGGCTGTTACTTCTGGGAGGTAAGAGGGAGCAATACTTAATCTAGAATTTCCACAGTATCAAAATGAAGATCAAAATGGTACAGATTTTTAATAACTCTCTCTTCCACAGAAATTGCCAGGAAAGAGAGAGAAAGGGAACACACAGTATAAAGGGAATGTTACACATAAAAATGGCAAATAGGTTCTCTTCTCTCTTTTTCCAATCACTTTCACCGATCTCTTGTAATAAGTATATCATTGAGGCAAAACATGTATTCTCAGCAGTGAATCCCAAAGATCTGTTAATTTTATACCATGCCTTGAAGAAAACAGCTAATCAGGGGTTCTGATGTGTCCCACTGGTCATCATGAATGAAACTGCTCAGAGCCACCGTGTGTTCCTGACAAAAGCCTAGCTGGCAGCATGTGTAAGGTGATTTCTATTCAGCTCAGTTCAAATTTTGAGAGAATCTTCAAATTTGAATGATGAACTGAGTTATTCTCTAGAGTTTTGAGTTTCTATGTTCTAAAACTTTGGACAAAACTGTTACTAAAGAGGAAACCTTCGGGGAAGACTCAGGAAATTGTTTCACAGTGAATGAACAATCAAAACAACAGTAAGGCTCAATTGAATTGGGCTGAATTGAAGGTGCATCTCTGATCCTTCTCAAAAAGAGCAGGAAAGAAAAATAATTTTGGTCCTTTGGGTCTCACATTCTCACCAAAATCTGGGAGCCTGAGTGCCCTTCCCATATCCACCCCTAAATTAATTAAATGCTATGTTATTGTGTTTTCACGATTTGCATTGCACCTGCATTACCTCTTCTTCATGCCTCATGTGTGGAAGGAAATCTTTTTGAAATGATTCCAAAGCTCCTTTCAACCTGTCCTCAAAAGCATTCCTGTTCAAATTAGTCCTGCTTTTTGAAGCACACTTAAGTCCTTTCTTTGTCAGGGACAAAATTTCCAGAACATGATTGTCTTTGTGAATGTCACGCACAATAGCCTGAATTTGTTCATTAATCAAGCGATGCTGAAGAACTGTCATAATACAAGTGTTTTCAATTTCTTCATGATGTTTGAGTTCTTGGAAAGTAGAGTTGATACACCCCAAAAGTCTCATAAGGGACACATCATCTTTGAAGTTTGTGGTTGATAGCTGAAAAAAAAAAGCAACTAGTAATCATGAACTCATCAAGAAAGTCTTGTTTTATATACACAATCATGGTTGCCACAGGCATAACTTTTCAAAATTCCATGACTTTTTCCTGATAAAAATAAAATTTCCCTAACCAAATAAATACAAAATGTCAGAGAAAACAGCAGTTTCTAGCCTCATTTTTCAGCCATCCTTTCTACTCTTTCGTTAAGACTGATAAGTTTTCAAGAAATTTTCCTTCTTCTTTACATAAAAATATCACTGAGATCACAGAGCCAGAACTGTTTCTTCCAGCCTTCACAGGTATTAAATCAGCCCTGTTAAATTATTCCAATTTTCCCTGACTTTTCTTCAAAATGTAAAATTTCCCCTGACTCAAAATTCCCTGAATTTTTGCTGACCTTGAAGAATTTATTATTTTCCCTGACCATTTCCTGACCTGTGGCAAGCCTGACAATAAATGTTCACACGCAAGCAGACATAATTTATTTTGTGGTGCTCCACTGTAAGCACTTTAATAGCTTCAAATCAAACTTGCCATTTGTCAAATTTATCATCTAAATTATGAGTTTTTTTACAAGTCAAATCCTTCCTAAAGCCCTGGCCAAACGATTGCAACAGTTCAAGCAACATATTGCAACATTGTTGGCCCAGTATTTGCAAGCCCCGGCCAAACCATCACAACATTTTGATGCAACATTTTTGGGTGCAACACGTTGCGTGCATTTGGCCACCCTATTGCGACGTGTTGCAACATGTTGGGAGTTGAAAATCGAACTAGTGCGCATCCCCTAGCGCAACATTGTTGCAGGACTACAACATCATGCAACATCCACAAATGTTGTGTGAAAAATGTGACCATCTTCTAATTTGAGCGAACAACACCCAGCATGTCGCAACATGGTGGCCAAACACCCAACAATGTTGCGATATGTTGCGTTGAAATGTTGCGATCGTTTGGCCGGGGCTTAATAGTTGAGTCAATGTTTCTGTCCAGAGCAAGTCATCTAAACCGTATCCGAGGATCTAACAAATTCGCAAATATAATGCTTGTGTATGCCAGGAAAACGAAAAACATGTAAAAAGTATTATGAGAAGATTGACGAAATTCCCATTAAACGTAAATTAGATCACACTGTAACGACCAGAAATTGCCAATCAAGATTGTTCAAAACAAAAACCTGCAGATTACAAATATGGTTAAAGTGAAATACTTCGATCGGCCCGTTCGAGAGTGACAACAGTACATAAGCTAACAAATACGCTTTCCTCCAAACGTCAAGAACATACCTTTTCTAATGCTTCATAAACGAGCTGTTTCATTCGCATGTGAGGCCCAGTAAATACATCTATTTCTTCCGGACAAGGGTAATGACACAGCGCCATCTTGATTTACATGACACAACACATACCATACAACCTCGAAGACTGATGGGAAATGACGTCATATAAATGTCTTTTGTTTGTGATTTTCCCAAATACGGCCAGGCACTTCAATTGCATTTGTTGAACTGAAATCTACTTCCTTGTTTTTAGCCCTGTTCTTCTTCCCAAAATAATTGTTCTATTTTGCCTTGCAGAATTTTTATTCTAACTTACTTTTATATTTTGAAGCATTTGGCAGTAGAATTTGGAAACTAAGAAAGAGAC